GCTGGCACCCGCCTTGGCTGGTGGCCTGGTGCCACCTGCTGGCCGGCCCCACTCCCCAATCGCCACCACTGGTTGCCTCCCTCTCCTGCATTGAGCGTCTGCCCCCTGGTGGTCAGTGCATGTCATAGCAACCGGTCATTGCGCTGGTTGTTCCACTGTTCAGTCTATTTGCATATTAGGGTTTTATTATATAAGATGATATTACATTTTATGGATATACTGCATCTTGTTCATTCACCAGTTGTTGGAAATGTATTTATAGATTACCTTAAACAGCCTTGGGCATTCCCCAAAAGGAGGCAATTCACAATGAATGACCAGGACACTCATCAGTCAATTTACATAATCAAGGCACTCTGGCAGCTTTGACTCTTAAACATAGTTGCTCCAAATGGCCACCAGTACATATGCTACTTGTCATGCTTTTCTTCAATTTGCATTTAGTCCTTTCAGCATTATTCTTTGAATGCAATGTGCATTGGAACCAGTATAGCAAGAAGTCAGGTTGAGTCATAAGCAAGGTGTCTGTTTGAATGAATTTAATGAAACTGGGTCTTTAATACACTCTGAGTCACTCAAATCAGGGTGGTACTGAGAGAGGGGAAAATCTAAATATGAATCCTGGTGGGAACACTTAAAGTAATGCAACTTTAAGCCATTTCTTTAAGACTCATTTGAAAAATAGTAACAATACCTACTTCCCAGGCTTATAGAAATTAAGGTTTACTATGTACCTAAAGTGTGCAAGATGCTATGCTAGGAGTTGTGAACACTAGAGATGAACAGAAAAGACAAACTCCCAGCTTTCCCAGAGTTTATATTCTAGGGCTAAAATACAAAAATTCTTCTGAGTAAATTTGAAGATTTAATTGGCTTTATGGAATCATGAATAGAGCAAATAGAAAGGAACTGCAAAGGGCTGTACAAAATGGAAGGTTTTTAAAGACAGAAAGGGGTCAGAAAAAAAGGACATTATGAGCATGAAATGCATTGTTTCAGGCAATGTCCCCTCCTAAGGGGAATGGAGGGAGCCTATCACAGATTATCTCACTAGTGCTGACCAGGTAATTCCAGGTTTACTGGCTAAAGGTTACATTTCTGAACCCAGCCGGTCTTGCTCAGTGTTTGAGCGTTGACCCAAGAACCAAGAGGTCACTGGTTCAATTCCAAGTCAGGGCACATGCCCAAGTGGCAGGCTCAATCCCCAGTAGAAGAAGCTGACGGTGCGATAAGACTAGGTATTAAGTATTGATTTGTTGACATGGGTTTAGCACAAGTGACTCCATTTTGGGGCCTGATGCTTCTTTTTAACTCAAGTGATGAGAAACACATAGTAAATAAGTAAGTGAAGTGTAATGGAAAGTAACTGAAAGGCTTCCCTGAGGAGATACCATTGGAGTTGAGGATTGGACAAGAAGTCGCTGTCAGCCAGGGAGAGGGAATGTCTGATTACAACGTTGAGATGAGAAGGTGGTCATGAGCCTGGTGTGTTCCAGGAAGCAAAAGAAGGCCACTGTCTCCTGAGCAAGGGATTTGGGGAGAGGTCTCATGGTCCACAGGAAAAAGTTTAAATTTTATGCTGGGGGTGGGGGATCC